TTGAAGGGTTTGCGTTGGATTAAATTTACAAATATATTTAGATAACAGATATGACATAGTAGAATAATGTTTTTCGGTTTCTAAAGGTGTTAAATTTATTATCCCAATTAGCATAAATAGCATTATTTAAGAAATATTATGTTTTTGATGGCTATGATTGGACTTACGCCACTTTCAAAATCAATAAAATGACGTTTTTAATTCTTAAGAAAGCACAAGTCCATAGGAAATTTAAGTTTTCCTTGAAATAAAAATTAATGTATACACTTTTCTGTTATAAAAATGAACAAGTATTCAACTTTTATTCTTTGTTAACTAATTTCTATATTAAAATTTACCTTTTGACTGCGGCGCGCTCTCGAACAAATCCATTAATATAAACGGCGCGATTTTCGCATGTCAGTCGCTGCGACTGTTTTTCCACTGACTATTGACCAAAACAGATAATAATGGCAAATAAAATAAAAATATCAATTTAAATATTTATTTTTATCCGAAAATGGATAAATTCAAAAACTAATCACAAAATTAAATAAAGAAATACTTACATATGCAGCAATGGAACAAGTTTACAGGAATCAAAGCACGAAGCGATTATAAGAGACCGTATGTAAAAGAGCAGTCAAATATGAAAGCAATTGATTAAACGATATTGAAATAATTGCCAATATTTAGTTGCTATGTTACATATCACAATAAATTCCATGTTAAATTAATCGATAAAACAGCAATAAAGGTGTTATAGTAAAAAAATACAGAGGGCGTATATTTATGCCTTTCGTATATATTGATGAATTTGTGAGAGCGTATATATACGCCTTTAGCAGTCAAAGGTTTAAATTGTTTTACTAATTACTAGAAAAGCTAGCCAATTTATGAAAAAATGGGGTTGCGCTTTATTTTATGTTATCTTAATTGTTTTGTTTTACTGCAGAAAATATCAATAAATAACATGGCTTGAAAAAATTGCAAAGAAAATAAACGGATGTTATACAAACGTATGTGTTATAAAAAACCGAATTTAGAGCGCTTGAACGTATTTTATTAAACTTTGGTGTCCTAAATACTTCCTTTTAAATTTCTTTCTTTTCTCATAAACAGGAGTTAAAAAGTTCAAAAAAAAATTAAATCTTTATATTTATAGATAGATAGAAAGATTATTGAGTGTTCTCCAGTTTGTGTATGCGGGAGGAATTTAAAATAACTATAGTGTGCAGGTGATAAATCTATTAAGTTATTGTATTTTAGGTTTGTAAATGGTCTTGTTTAAAAATTATAATATACTAGGGGTGCCCCGGCCACGCGTTGCTGTGACTAATAAATATATAGATAGATCTGAATCTACGCACATAACATTTGTCTTCTTTTTCTCTTTTTTCTTAATATCGAACCAACTGCGCATGAGCGGTAACATAAGATCACCACTTACCTCACATCATATAATTTTACATTGTCTGAATATACGCACATAACATTTGTCTTTTTTTTC